TGCTTCGTGTCAGACAGACTGAACGTCGAACCCATCTTCTCGAGCTCCAAATCGGCTGCGTATTCGTCGGCGAGCGCAAGCAGGTTGTTAGCCTTCTCCAACGACAAATTTTCAAACTTGATAGTGAACGCCTTCAGTCGAGAACCTTGACACAAGCTACGGTGATTACAGACGCCTTGGAATCAAATGATGACGTCATAAAATCAGTGTACAGAAAGACGTCAGCCACAAATCACAGATGTGTACAAGCAAAACCTACATTCTGACTCTCTTACCGTATGACTTCCAGACGGCAGCATTTAACAAAGCTGACAAGAGAAAACTACAATCGATGAAACGGCAGATATTAATATCGATACAAGGTCTGAAATGCTATGATTTTCAGTCATTTTGTATCGCTATATTAAAGTGAATAGGATATCCATCTAAAATGATAGATGACGGGGTGTTCAATTAAGGAAGGGAACAAAACCGCCTTGCGAAGTGAATACGGAACTCAAAGCCTGATGGCAAAAAACTTATCTCCAGTGAAACTTAGAACAAGATGGCGAAATTTGGCAACAAATGACATGATATCGAAAATGTCAAAAATTAGCGCACTTTAAATCGATCCAGATGAATCGCTTGTACAACATCTAGGCAGGATATTCTTTCAAGCAATGCTCCGGGAAAGAAAAGAAGAGGCTAAGAAAGAGTTATGAAATCTCTTACGGCTACAAGAGTTATGAAATCGTGGCTCAGCCACCGGTTGCAAAAGAATGCTTGCCTGATAGACGAGGAAGCCACAGTAACAAGACCCTTTCGACGTTGTTGAAAATTGATTTGCAGAGTACTACTGATACTCATATGAAAAATTTTAGATACGAGAGTTTCTCTATGTTCTCTGTGTCCGTTTTTCTAAGATACGCGTTCACTTAGTCACTTGCGATAAGTGAATTATTTGCTTCGTATAACGAAGAGTCTTGGGCATAATCAATGCCATGATTTTTCTCAGCGACTATCAGGTTAAGTTTACTAATATGACATGCAGTTATGGTTGCTTGCCCTTCACCGGTCTAGGATAATAAATTAATGACGTCATCAGCATAAATTAAAACATATACCAAGATACCAAAATCAACTTATACTGAAGCTGGCATTCTGTTAAGCTTCGAAATTGTGACAAGCTTTCAGCAACTAAATAAAATAAAAAAAACTGATCACTTTAGATCCTTTGTACTGCAAGTTTGTAAATGTTAGTGATCTGTGAGAAAAACTTCAGGAAGTTAGAAATATTCGCTCCCTCGTGCCTCCGCTCTGTGCGTGTGTTCCATCGGTACGGTGTCAAACTCAGAGGTTGGCAGCCGTTGTGGTGTTACCAAAATCTCCACTGCCACGCAAGAGTACGCGTTGTATTACCTTGGATATGTTCTTCGGCGATTCAGATATTATCTTTAGCAGTTATGCATCATTTAACATATTCCAGCATACGAACATAGACTGATGTTTATGCGGCTGTATGTAACGAGTACCAAATTCTGAGACTTCGTTCGCATCGAAAGCGAGGTGGCTCTCTAGGAAACAACGCAATGCATCTGTCACTGAACTGCAAGTGCTCAAATATCATTGAATTATTGAATTATGGCTTAATCAATTAGCCTCATAACTAACAATGAGTGATGAGGCCGTGAAATCCAGTCTTTCTAAAAGTTACGTGCCATTTAGTGCGCATTATTTAATAAAACCTTTTACCTTACTGCAATTAACACCATGAAAGAATGGTAGACAGATTTAAAGTTCAAGATGTCAGGGCATGATTTGCGAATGACGTGAAGCAGAGCGTGGAAACGGACACTTGATCAAGCGAATAAAGACAATAACAGTTTGTGATGATGACGAAGCAGTAGAGGCATACAATCATAAGTGCTGACTCACGATCGACAAGGGCTCTCGAAGACGCAGTCGCAGAGATGAAACATATTTGAGAGATAGTTTGAGCGATGAGACTCGACATGCTCTATAACAAGGCAATCTGATACACCTCACTTGTGGACCGCATTACGTCCAAATCGAGAGATCGAAG